TGCCACACAAATTATTTGTGCCACTCCAAAAAATAATTTCTGTCCACTATGAGATGAAGGAGAACAACAGCCTGATACCTGCAGGCCTGACAGCAGCAGATGTATCACTGCTGTAACACCTGTAACACTCAGCAGTCGCCTCATTGTTCTGACACACACAACAACACTATTGACTACACTACACACTAACTACACAAGATTTGTGCTAAACGTTGCAAATCTCTCACATCTCGTCACCGTAGTCACTCCTAAAACTTCTTCCCGTTACTTAACAACTAAATGCCATGTTTTGATTGATTGACATGGTACACTTTCGACCAATGGGAAAGGGTGGGGAGTGTTTTGGCTTCGTCTCTGCTCACAGACGGAGAGCGCTTTCGTGCGTTTTCCTTATAAAACGACGTTTTTACCGTTTCTTCCCGCAGTAAATATAAACAACAACAGTATTTAGGAAGAAAACCAAACATTTTATATATTTTTATCGTAACTCTGGTTTTACGTGGCCGATCAACACAATTTAAAAACTGGTATAAAGTCCACACTTTTCCCGTCAGTTGTTCCGTCTGTCCTGCTCACATCTCCAATGGTTGTACATGTTGTCATTAATGTGGCTTCACTCCTCATCAGCTGCCTTGCTAGCTAAAACACCGGTGTCGGCACATATTTACTTTATTTCAATTCAGGTTAGAATTTTTTTTGCGTGCGCAACGCAGATTTTCTCTGCGCAGAGACCGTGCCAACAGTGCACAATTGCGCACGTGCGCAGCTTAGAGGGAACATTGGTGGCTACTGTTAGCTCAACAAATCCATTTTAAACTTCAAGTTTAGCAATTAGCCATCACTGTTTTGTACTTTACAGTTAGAGAAGCAAGAGCACCACAGCTAATGACAACTAGCTTGGCTAGCAACATAGATAAGTGCTAAGAAGTGCTGGGAAACAGATTAATTACACCAAAACTGGGATGGACAAAGCCAACGATCCCAGAGAATTACTGAGTGGACCAACACTGGAAGCACTTTTAATGATAAACTTACTAGACCATGAAAGGAAAGTTAAAGTCTGTACTAACTGTTGCTGTGAATGGGGAAACTAGCTGTAAACACCAACTGACTGCTCAACCACCATTTGGTGTTAGCATTAGCCTGGCATTTTCAGCAATGTCAGCATGGACGTTTGAAACCTGGACAACACCTCATGCTAAGTTAGTTAGCATGAGGTGATAGTTTGCAGTGATAGATTAGAGATTAGATTAGATGAAACTTGGGTTCCTCAGGGAAATTCAGTTTAGCATAAGGTGATAGCTTGCACTGATAGTTAGCATGAGGTGATAGCTTGCAGTGATAGTTAGCACGAGGTGATTACTTAGTTAGCATAAATGACTATTAAAGGGTGTAAATATGATAATTTCTGCATTAAATCTAGACATTTAAACAGGAGAGTCTATACAGATTGATTCGCTTTTGAAGCCTTGCGTGGGCACAAGAGGGACTGTAATACTTGGTTCTTCTGTATTAATAATACTTTCTTCAGTCTCCTTTAACCTCTCATATTAGATAAAATCATTCATTGTACAACAGTGTAAAAACTTTTTATCCATGTTTCCTCCTGCAGGCCTGCACACTAGACTAGAGAGATTAGATAAAACTTTATTAATCCCTCAGGTGGGTTCCTCTGGGAAATTCGGTAAAAGAGAGAAGAACACTAGAGAGAAGCTAAAGGGTTAAATTTCAAAGTCAGCTTTGGCTTCAGGTTGGGAAATGTAACTGTGACAGTGTCAAGTCCTCTGAAGTATAGATGAACCAACGTGTGTGTTTGTGTGGCAGCCTGATCTGGACCAACCAGTTTTGTGATGCTGATACTTTAGATACAGTTACTATGACGACTGCTCACCTGTTGCTGTCAGAGTTGGGGGTAGGGTGTGTCACGACCTGTGTTTACATGACTTAAAAGTACAATGACCTACATTCATCACTAGCACTGAAGCTAAAACAAACAAACAAACAAACAAACAAACATTTTCAGGAGTAATGTGTGATGTGTAAAGATTTTTAGGTCCTCCACAAACACCAGAACTCACTTGTGTTTATATCACTACATGAGATACAGCATATCGCATGTCGTCATGTTAGATTAAAAAACCATCTCGGATCAATAATCAGAGGACACACACATTCATTTGTAGCTCTCTAAACTTAAATGATGTCTTGAACTTAACTAGTGATGAAAACACACACACACACACGTCATGGTTCATCTTGATTGGTGATTTCTGTTATGTGGCCGCAGAGTGAAACTAAATACACACAGTCATGTCTATATGACATTAGAACATTAACTTAGCAAGCAAGCTAAAATCTACTGTCTAGCTGTTTGGTGTCAAGCAATTTGGAACTAGGCTAACATTAGGTAATGTTTGTCACAAGAAGGTTACATTTGTTTCACAAAGCCCATCTGTTTAGCCAGCTAGCTGTTATGCTAGATGCCAAGTAATGTTTCACCAACTAAAGTTGCCTTTAGCTAAAATTAGCCAAAGGTAAAGGTTCGTTTTATGAAGTGCACCAAGCAGAACGAAATTAAATGAGCAACAGATTCATGCAGCATAGCTAATTTACCTGGTTAACTGTATTTTGTTTGCTACTTTTATTGCTATTCAAAATGCTAGTTGGCTAGCATAATTTCCTCACCAGCTGTGGCGATTTTAAGGATGCTAACTGTAATTTAATGTCCAAATATATTGATTTATCCATTAGTAAATAAGGTAATGATACAAAACTAATTGTACTGAAGTGTTTTCAGACACACTGCCACTAATCGCCTGATGTTAACGCATCATGGTGTCAAAGTAGGATCACCTGATAACCTCCACACAGGCCTAAAGACTGGTGTGAAACAATCAGACTCCTGCTGGCTGCACTTGGAAAAATGAGTATTCCTCGAGTGGCTGACAAAAACTTCCTTGTTTTTACTTTAGTAGCTAGCCTACTGCTGCAGTCCCTGCTTGAATGGAATTGCCAGACCTTTCTACAAACACTGTCCCGTCACCCTGAGGGCTGCATCCAAAACGATTACAATTTTAATTTGAAGGCAAACCTCCTTTATTTTCCCTTTGTTTCACACGTTTTCCACTTGTAATACTGCTCAGCTAAAAGTTAGCGAGTATTTGCAGACAAACATGAACAACTACAGGCAGCTTTGTTAATCTGGTACCAACCAAAGCTTCTCTGCACGTTTAAGGGACACGTTTCTTTTCTTTAGCAACTGATGGCTGTCTCAGAAGTTTGGAAAGAAACGTGTCTGGATTTCTTTACTTTTCTTGAAGACGTGTCACCTCTCATCCGAGAAGCTTCTCTTTAGTTTTAAGAGCGATTGGTGGAGAGTCCCACATTTTTAAGCTCTACTGGGAGTGTCCCTACGAGGGTCATGGACCCCGTATTGATCCTTTGCCTAATCACACCAGCGAAGGTGCCTATATCATCCCCAGTATGGCAGATGTGTGCATGACGTCACCTTGATAACTCACGTTTACTCTCATTTACTGGCTCCAGCTAGCTGTAAGACCCACAGAGGTTAGGAAAGAAGGACGTAACTGCTGCGACGATACCTGGTGGTTTATACCACATTAATCCTCTTTTTGACACGTGGCATAACCAAAATGCATAAACTAGATTTAAGTTTTTATTTAGTGTGACCCAAAACGAGTTAGTGAGTCCACACACTGAGCAGGAAACCGTTCACAGAGGTGAAGATGTAGGCTTCTTCCAGGTCAGAAGTGCTTCTATAAGCACAGCTTTCGCCATCTGGTGGCAAATGCAGGTTTAAGCACTTCTGCACAGGCCACAGGGATGATTTGCACTGTCAGTGTTTTGCTGACACTTCATGTGAGCTGTGTTATCATCATGCTGATATGCAGCGTGTACACTGCTCTCTGAGCTGTTACACACATGACATACAGAAACATCACAGGGACGGTCTGTATGTCTGATGAGGCTGATATGAGCTGGCACAGCAGCAGTGGACGTCTTCATTAGCAGCGGGTTTCTGGAAGTTCAGCAGAAGTTCTTTATAAACCCGTGCGGATCAATAACACGCCATCGACCCACTTCTCATTTTGTCAGTATAACAAAGCTCAAAGCAGCTGCTAGAAAACGTCCTTATAACAACAACACGGATGCAAGGATGAAGAAATATTGCTTCCTTTTTTCTTACAGAAAGAGGCCACTGAATGATGCAGGTGAACGGCATGTGCTGGGGGGGCCAAACGAAGAGCCAACAGCTCCTTCTAGTGGTGTATCTGCTGTACTACACACCTGTAGTTACATAACAAACAAGAGCAGCAGCTATAACGAGGCCGTGTTTGTCCAAAGGGCGATTTCCTGTCTGTGTTAAGTGTTTAATGTTTATCTGGAGACATGACCTGACAGATCTGATGGTTTCTCAGAGGCCATAAAGAAAGTCTGTAAAGAAACGGGATTATATTTTCACAGCACAGGTATGACAATGATTAAGTGTGAGAGGGCACACACGTGAGTGAAGTCATGAAACCAGAAAAAGCTGCTAAAGTTAAACGAGCGGTTCCTTTCCTGTGGTCTCATTTCAGTTTATTTCCAGTGAACAAAGATCTTAATGGACAACTTGAATGGGTTTGAATGTGCTTTTATTGTTAGTATTCAGCATCTGCATTGTTAAAAGGCATTCAAAGCAAAGAGTCAAATCACTGGTTTTCAATCAGGAGGGTAAAAAACAGACGAGGTTACAGAGTTTCCTGTGTCAGAGTGCAGCTCAGTTTGTCAAAGTTTGGGAGAAATTCATCACCTGAAAACGATCATTTTAGTGGTGACTGGGCACTGCAGTGAGTTTGGTTTTTC